CTTACTAAAATCTGTGAATTAAGTATTATTATTGTCCCCATTTAACATCAAGGAACTAAAACAGACCAGGATCACACAAATAGCGAAAGATAAAGATGAATTCTGAGCCCTGATAGGTGTGATCTCAAAATCAACTCTAAACCAGAACTACTCAAGTGTGGTCCAGGGACCAGTACTGATCCATGAACTGTACATTACTGGTCAATGCTGAGATAATTATAGGAATTGAGGACAAGCATTTAGACGCCTTTGTAGCAGCTTCACATTGTGATGCACATAATTGCTGACTCTTAGTGATGAAGGGTATGGGGGCATACAACTTGCATGGTTGGCGAGGGGCAACTACTGTGAACTGAATACCAGTCAGGCAATAGGACACTCGCTCTGAAATCAATTGGAGATTTAAGGAGAAAAAAATTCAGTCCTTTGCCACAAATAGTTTCTGAAGCATTGCTCTAAACCATTATATTGCCTCCCCGGAGTGAAAACAAAGAAATCAATGTAGCCGAGTAAGATGCTAAGAAATAGGAAGATGCAGCGTTATGAAGCTCAGCTCCAGAAACAGCTTTGTTGCTCACAAACTCGGTCATTAATGGTAAGTGACTTTTGGCACGTCCTTGCTCCACCCAAGCATAAGACAGGGCCGTGAGGACTTGCCTGTAGAGCTGAAGATGGGAGAGAAAAATCCTATGATGGGCTTTTCCATTCTTACTGTGGCAGATGCTACTGGCTGTCCCAAACCCCGCACCCCCGCCTGCCCGCTTCCCTCCCTTCTTCCAAAACTGAGCCTCAGCTGAGCACACAGAAGCTCAGAATAAGGATTTGTTCCCTGTGTCCCTTGCAGCTAGGGGGGACACAGGACAGGGTCCTGACAGAGGGGTGTAAATGGGAGCATCTGCTGGAGGTGTCAGGAACTTTCCTCTTTCTTCCTTTTTATCTCTGCTTCCATTCTATTGCTTGGAACCTGGATTTGATGGGCCAGGAGGAAAGAGTCTCACCTTGGAGATGGTGGAAAGGAAGCTGAAAGGATCAGAATGCCTGGCGACTTTGCAGACTAACCACAGCAAAACCAGTGTTGGCTGCCTGCTGGACGACTGGCACATGAAGAAGAAATAAACTTCTGTTTCAAATAAGTCACTGGCATTTGGGGTTTATTGTCCCTTGCAGCCAAATCCAATCCAAACTAGTATACTCATGCAACCAAACTGGTCTCTTGATCACCCTCCCGCTCCCAGTTTTCCCTAGTCTGCTCTGTCAAATCTGATCTGAGGACTGGGAAGAGAGGATGTATAACCACACAGACTGCATTTGAGGCAGGGGAGAAGTGGAAGAGGATTCCCAAAGGAACATTTTACAAGAAACTGACTTGGCACCAAGAGTCTCCTTCCTCTGTCCAGTGTTTGGTGCCAACATCCCAGCAGGTCGACATCCTGACGAATGCTGCCATGCCTTTGGGGACTATCCCACTTGGAGTTTACTTTAGCAACAGTATTTCACCTGGCATGCTCACAAAGGTATTGTGACTGTGGTGACCTCCTGTTGCCACTGGTCCCTAGTTTTGTCCTGGAGGTGGCTCGTGCTGGCTGTTCAATACAGTCATTATTAAAAATGGAAATATATCAACTTGAAGTTCAATAAATCATATCAAAAACAAAGGCAATAAATACTCAGAACTCATCACTTCCTAATTTCATTTTCCACCCTTGACCATGATCTATGTTATTGAAGTTATCTTGTTTCTTGTATGAATATGGTAGGAATACTGTGTCATGCTGGGCGGTTCATATCTTTTCCTAACTCTGCCTTCAGTGACGTGACGATGATGGTTTGAAATTGACCATTATGGGAACAGGTATTGACTGGGGTTCTTTCCTCCTAGATAATGTGGGGCCAGAGAGGAATAAAAGTCCCCATCCCTTCGCAGTTTCCAATCTCATTAAAGTATCACAAACATGAAATAAAATATTACGTATGAAGGAGAACTAGAACTGAACTCAGCTAGGAGGCAGGAGAGCTAAAACCTGTTCTCAGCTCTGAAACAAGTGGTGGGACTGTGGGCAAGTCTCTTGGTCTCTCAGTCACAGCATTTTTCATCTGGAAAATCCCACTGGACTCCAAGCTCCACCAGGGGAGGAGCTGCGTCTACCCCATTTGCTGCCACATCCCAGCCCTTCAGCATAATTCCAGACATGTAAGAGGCAACGAAGCAATGCTTGTCAAGTGAATGAATGAGTGGGAAAGCACCATCTCCACCAACCCTTCCAGCTCTGAGAATGCAGAGGTTCATGATCCAAACTAAGGTTAACAGAAGTGGCACAAGACTGAGAGCCAGGGATGGACAACACGGGCCAGTTTCCTCAGATGCCTACAAGGAAGGGGCCATGCTGGACTCTGGGCAAAGGTGGGCAAGCCAAGAAGTTGGGCAAGCCAGGAAGTCTGACTCGAGATCACAGTGATCATTCCTTGAAGCCCTGGTGACAATCGTGAGTGGACATTCCTTTTTGTTCTTCTCTGCTGTCTGGTACCTGACTTTGTGCTTTGGTTCAATACTGCCTTGAATCCCAACTGAAGAGTTTGTTAAAATCCCAGCAAAAAAAAAAAAAGAAAAAAAAATTTTTTGAACCATCCCCCTGCCTGTTACCACTTCCAGCTCACTGTGGAGCTCATTCTCACACCCCTCCCAAGATCTCTTGCTGATAATCTTGGAAATATTTACAGCAATTGCCTGAGTACATTTCTTTTCTTTCCTTGGCTAAACTATAATTTTGCTATTTTAAAAAAGTTACAAATGGAATGCAAATGTGCCCGTTAAGTTTTCAATATTCTTACCACTCTGAGTCTGATTTTAAAGGGGAAAATGTTGCATTTGTGAGAATACTCAAATTTAATGTAAATTTCTCAAGATAAAGCAGGTTCTCTCACTTATTAGCAGTGCAGAAACACAATAGTCAATGAATCTATCCCGACTATGATATTCTACCTGTTGACATCACCCTCCCATCCTACCCAGCCCCAACACACACACAGTTCCTCCTTTAGAGATGATGAGAAAGCAAGACCATTACCACTTTGTAGTTATTTCACATTCTAAATTGCTCTTGGAGCGAGTTCAAAGGTGTTAGGTCAGAATTTTGAATGAGATTGTTGTTATTTATTCTTAAGGTTTTTTAAAAAAACATCTGAATTGATTGAAAGAACTAGTTTTCTTCCATGTGGAAAGATGAAAACAGAGATTTATGATTATAGTCTCACAAATGATGAAGGGTGTGCAGTGAGTGAAGATAGATTTATTCCCAGAATCTTGACATACCAGAACTAAGGGCACACAGTCAGAATTAAAGAAGATGCCTGTTTACGAATCTATCTAGAATTGCCCTAAGTGCAGAAGAGGATATTGGCCATCCCACAGTGCCACATGTTGCAGGGGTCAGGGTAGGAATTCAGCTTCTTTGAGTCTCAGTTTCCTCAAGTGTAAAAGGGAGATAATGATATCTATATGAAAGGATTGCCAGGATTAAATAAGGGAAATAGCTTAGGTCAGTGCCTTGAACTTGTGTGCGCTCACAAATGTTAGTTCCACTCCCCCTTGCTACTTCCCCCATCTGACTTGCCCCCATTTCCAGCCAGTCACTTGGACAAGTTATTATCAATACTGACCTTACTACTCCCAAGAAGTGGCTCAGGTGAAAACTCTGCATAGCTGGGGTGGAGAGGGGGAGTTTTGCCCTATGTGTAAATGGTAGATACAGTTTTAGAGTTTCCACGAATTCAGGCTTCGGGAGGTTCCCCATTCTCAAGATTGCAGCTAGAAGGACAAACATGCCCTCAGCCAGTGTCAGACACAAGGAAGGGGTGTCCACGTGTGACCCTGTTGGGCTCCTTTGAGCTTCTGAAAAGCCTCTTGGCCCTCTGTCCCTCATTACTACAAATGGCCCAGGGCCTTACCAGTTGCCTGAATAGCTTATATACTCAATCAATTTGAATTAAAATGTTAATGGGTGGTAATGGCTTTTAATTTGCCACCACTCCCTCATTTTAACCCAAACATTCAATGACTTAGTCTACAGAAGTGATGACTATGGGACCTTCTGGCTTCTTGGAAAATCCAAGGCAGGAAAAGAGACTTACTTAAACAGAGGGGCAGGCAGGAGGGGAGGGGTCAGGGTGGCCAAGCCAAGCATGTGCCCATGTGGCAGTTCACATCACCAGTCTGACATTCTCTGCCAATCTCATCAGTCTTCCTCTTTCCAGATTCCAGGAACAAACTCATTTTGCAGAGGCAGCAATGGGTGGTGGATGTACACAGATCACTTGTTAAAGGAGCTGGCCCAACAAGACCCAAACCTAAGTGATCACAGACAGCAGGTATTCTATAGTCAATGATCACAAGGGTCCCCCATCACCCTTCAAGAAAAATCCCTCTTCAGAGACTCTCATTGCAAGGACAGCGTCTACGTGAGGAAGCTAGCTCTACTTCTGAGCAGGTAAACTTGCGAGACATTGCTCTGTGGGTCTGATTACAGGGATTTCTCTATATGGAATCAAACCATTCAACAAAGGTTCCACTGTTTCCTGTCCACTCATATGACTCTTCTCTGGTGAGTGTAAAGGAGGAAAACTGAGCCTGGGATGAGAACATGGGCCATCTAACAGGAAACAGAAATAGATTCTGCTGTAATCGTGGATCACCTAACAGGAAATGGAAATAGACTCTGTTGTAATCATGCTTGCAGCAATGAGGTTGATCTGACCTGGTGAATTTAGGATCACAGCAACACTTCCATGATGTTCTCCATGGTAAGAGTGTAGTAGGTAGAGAAGCAGAGAACATAGGAGAGAGAGGTCAGTCAGCTTCTTCTTGCTCTTTTGGGGGATCTTATTAATCAATTATAAGTGAGCCAGGAGACCTTAGCTCTACTGTAGCTCAAATCCCCTATCATAATTAGACACTTGAATGTCTGTCTTCCTTTTGAACAGTGAGCCACTAGAGGGCAGGAAACCCGAGGCGTCTCTCTCCACTTGGTGTTTCTAGTCCCTAGCACAGAGCCTGGTACAAGGTAGGTTAAATATTGCTGCAAGTTGGAGTGAAGAGAGGAGCAATTCAAATATTGAGCAGCACACCATGAGCATCCTGTACTTTCCTCTCCCTATTCAGGTATCCCAACCATTCCCTTCAGAAAAACAAGGCAAAATGGTGACAAAAACCACTCCACACCTCCTAAACCACCCTTCCAGCAAGACAAAGGGAAAGATCTTGGCTTTCTGAAAACTCGAAATAAGGAAGGTTAGACCCCGTGCCAGTCACACTGATGGGAAACCCTCCTTTGACATCTCATCCCTGCCTCTAACAGACAGGGAGAGTAACGTCCAACCTTGTTCTCGACATCAGAAAAACCTCACCCCAAGAAAAATACATGGTATTTTCGAAGTGCTTACTGTAAAAGGAGCAGAGGTGCACTGACTTTGCCAAGGGATGGGAAGGAAATGAAGCGCTGAGGCGGGAATTAGTCCACTCTTCCTCTGGATAAAAGACATCTGCTTCTGGCACTCCTCAAAGGAGGTGATGCAGAGCTCTCCCTTGCCGCTGTGCTGCTTCCCTAATCTGCTCTCCAGGCTGGGTGATGGGAGCTCCTCCTGCAGGGGAGAGCCTGTCCTGGCTCCCAGGGTCAACAAGTGCAGTAGCCCCTGGCTTGGAAGCCTCCCTCCTGCTCCTCCGTACACACGAAGAGGCAGAAGTGCTCTGGGCACAAGCGGTGCTTTGGTGGGAAATCAGAAGGCCCTCTTACATCCCCGGGGGCGCCATGAAGGGACTTGGCTGCCGCCAGCCCCTCCCCAAACTCCTCTGAGTGGTCCAGGGAACAAGGCCAACCCGCCCCTCCCATTCACTGGGTTGTGGTTTCCAGCACTTAGGACATTCCATATAGCTTCTCCAACACGACTCCTCCTCCCCACACTCAAACCCCAAGGACCCTTTCATAAACCAGATGATCATTTCTGGAAAGTTACATTTCTTAATTTCAGGAATTGTTCCAATTAGTGCAAGGAAAATAAAAGGTAATTATCTAATTCCAGTAAAACTTAATGGGGCCCTTCCCATCCCTGGCTAATGGTTGGTGTGAAATGTAATTTGACTTAAACTGTCTAAGGCTGTGAAAGTGTAAAATATTCAGGAAGAGTGGGGGACATTACTCCTTGTGGGAGCCATATTTTTCTAGAAGGCATTTTGATCAAGACAGGACTCCCAGGGTTATTGATTTTGGGGTTATTGAGAGTCCAAGAACTGAGGAGATGAAGGCCACCCGGCGTCAGTACCGCGAGGGCAGAGGGAAGACGGGAGCTAAGTCTCCCATTGGGGTTCTAGCCGAGGGTTCCAGCCAGGATTTCGTGACCTGGGGGCAGCTCTGCGAGCTCTCCGGACCTAGTATCGGGTCTATAAATGGAGACCAAGATAAGCACCTGGAGGGAGTGGTTTCTCGAGAGAGCCTCGCCCACAAACTGTAGTCAGCATCTTCACCGAAGTTGGCCTGTCTTGGATATTTCTTCTCTCCTCCCCTTCCTCCACCTCCCCTCCCAATTCATCAACTGCTGAAACATCTGCCTGGCTGAAACCGCCTTCTCGCCGCGCGCTGGGGGCTGTCCTCAGGTGTTAGTCTTTGTGTTGAGAAAACTTTGCGAGGAGGCGAGGGAGCTGGACAAAGAGCGGGCGAGGGAGGGCGTTTGCCACCCTGAGGGGTGCGCCGGGCGGTGCGCGCACTTCCCTGGGCTCAGCTCAGTACCCGGTCGTTCGCGGTGGCCAGAGCCCAGCCTCTCTAGGCCAGGAGTGGCAGCCTCCGGCTGCATCCCCGCGCCCTCGGGAGCTGAATAAAGCCAGGCGGGAGAAGCAAAGGCTAGCAGGTCTGGACGCTGGAGTTGGTGGGAGGAGGCGAGCAGAGGCGCGGAGCAAAGCTGTCAAACTGCGCGCGGAGCCGGGCGCGGGGCGGGGGAAGGGAGAGGAGGGAGGGAGGGGCAGGCGGGAGCCGAAAGGGAGCGAGCGGGCTCGCCGCGCCTGAGCAACCCCTGCCTGTCGCTGCCGCTGCCGCTGCCGCTGCCGCCGCCGGCCCGGACTCGCCCCGAGCGCAGGGTATCTGCCCAGCTGCGCGCCGCGCGCGGAGGCTCCCGCGTCCGCCGCTGCGCCCTCCAGCCCCTGCTCCTCGCACCGGCCCGCGTGGGTCCCGGCGGACGCGAACCCACCATGCAGCTGCAGTTCCGGAGCTGGATGCTGGCCGCGCTCACGCTGCTTGTGGTCTTCCTCATCTTCGCAGACATCTCAGAGATCGAAGAAGAAATCGGGTAAATAGCTGCGCCCAGGCCCGTGCCACGAGACCTGGCGGGATCTCTCCCTCCTTCCCTACTCTCCACCCTCCGACCCCCTTTGTGTGCGCCGCGCCCCCACCCCCCTCCGTAGCTCCGCTGGAGAGGTAGGGACGGCTTGGCAGAAGGTAGCGGTGACAGGGGCCCGGGACGGTTTGGGGAGAGGAGGGTGGGGGCGCGGCTGCCGTGGGGTGTCCCCGGGCGGGGCTCACGGGAAGCCCCCAGCTGGCCCGCGTCGGGAAGCGGGCTCGCCCACCCTGCCCCCCTGCCTGGCGTGTCCAAGCGCAGTGTCGCCGGGGTCGAGGGAGGGCGCCGGGGAGTGTCTCCGGCGGGCGGAGGGGCCGAGAGTGGAGGGAGGCAGGAGTTTCTTTGTCTCCGGCACGGCCGCTTTCTCGCCTTGGCAAAGTGGGCAGGGGGCGCGCAGGGATCTCTGAGCTGGGGGAGGGGTTCCCCGAGCCGGAGCGGAGGGCGGGGGCTCTGCATAGGCTACGGGGAAGCCGAATGTCCCCTGCACACACAGACAGGCACACGCGCCTCCCGCCGGCCTGGGAGCCCGGCGTAGGAGCTGGCACCACTACAGAAGGGCTCGCATAGCTGGACTGAGACCCCCGCCCTCGCCTGGCTTTGGACGTTCAGCCAAGCCACGGCGACCCCGGCGACCCTGGGTTCCTGCGCGCTCGCAGAGCGGAAACAGAGACATTTCGGGAAAGTCTGTACTGCCGCCCGGTGGGCTTCTGGGCCCTCAAGCGGACGGTCTGGCCCTTTTTTCTCCCGACCTCGCCAGAGGTAGGGCGGGACTGCGAGCCCGGATCCTCCCGGCTCCGGACTTCCTGGAGCGCGCACTTGAGGCGCGGGACGCACCAGCTGTGTGTCCCAGAGGCTGAGACTCGTGCCTCGCCCCGCAGCCTTCGGCTCGTCGGGGCGGGAAGTTCTCCAGAACCTCCAAAGGGCGGTAGACGACAGGTGGGGAGGCAGCCAGCGTTCTGAGGAGGCCCGAGGAGACCTTCCTGGCCCTGGGTAAGGGGAAGGTGAGGTCTCAGAGAGCGCAGAAGGTCTCTTTCTGTGGGATTTGTGCCCTGCCAGGCGCTCTTCTCGAGTCCGGTGCCGCGTGCGCCCCTCCTTTGTCCCATTTGTTACTTCATTTGTTATCTGTGCTAGTTGAGGGTCCGCCACGCTGTCAGTCCCTCAAATGGGAGATGCCAGTCTTGGGCCCAAGCAGGATGCCGAGGCCCCAAGGACCAAAACTTGGGACAAGTGCCACTTCCTGCTCTCATTTTCTCCCCGCCCCTGCCCATCTCCCCGGAATTCCTTCTGTGAACTCCACTGGGCTTCAGGAGCCCCTCTCCCTGCTTCTGTCTCCTCTCATTCTCGGTTTCCCCAAGAGCTCTGAAAACTTTCACAAATGCTGTGCAGTTAATACACAACGTGCCACCATCTCCCACGCAAAGATAAACATGCTACTTTTCATAGCTGTTCGCCTCAGAAACGTGGATCGGAAAGGAAATCGGGCAAGTCACGTCTTGGGGTAATGGAAGATGCGGTGAGAAGGGCCTTCCTCTGGGTTCTTCGGCTTCTTATTCCTGATGTGGGCACTGCCTGGCCCAGATCACTTGCTGATCTTTGCCCATGTGAGAGGGAAGGCACGGCGCTGCCCATTGTTCTGCTGTAAAAACACAAGTGCTGTGGTCATCCAGGCACCCCTAGGTCAACCATCCACTGAATTCTTAGCAAATACCTTCCACATGCTGGGAACTTTTAATTTTTAAAATGCAATCAGGAGATCACTTTGCACATAATGTTGCACTTTCTTGCCAAATGCACGGTGAAGCCTGCGCTCCCCACATCAGGTTGTTCCCATATATGTACACACCCCTGGGACTTGTTTCACTTGAGGGCTCTCTACTTCTTTTTATCCTGTCTCTGTTGGGCCAATCCTAGGAAACAACTGTCAAACAAGTCTGATGCGTCACCTCCTGTGGCATCTTCCTTCCCTCTCGTCCCAGGCTGACCACTGGCTTGACCAGTCCTGACCAGGCCTGAGACACCCCCTCTCCCAGGCTGATGTAGATGCCTTAGAACAACACTACACATGCCTTTCAACTGGGACAGGCACTCTAGCCCCACTCACCGTCAGCCCCACACGTGTTTAATCCAGAGGAATGGAGGCATATTTTGGGATTCACCATGGCTGGAGAAGGAAAGACTCGGGCAGAGCATGGGAATCCCAACAGCACCCTCTGCCTGCTTAAAAGTGAGGGGGTTTTTTTGTTTTGTTTTGTTGTGGTTTTTTTGTTTGTTTGTTTGTTTGTTTGTTTGTTTTTTTGAGACAGAGTCTCACTCTGTTGCCCAGGCTGGAGTGCAGTGGCACGATCTCGGCTCACTGCAACCTCTCCCTCCCAGGTTCAAGCAATTCTCCTGTTTCAGCCTCCCGAGTAGCTGGGATTACAGGCATGTGCCACCACACCAGGCTAATTTTTGTATTTTTATTAGAGATGGGGGTTTCACCATGTTGACCAGGCTGCTCTCGATCATCTCAGGTGATCTGCCCACCTCAGCCTCCCAAAGTGCTGGGATTACAGGCATGAGCCACCCCTCCCGGCACAAGTGAGGTTTTATCACTAAATTCATTCTTGGAATTACCTCAACTTTGAGCAGCTGGGCTCAGCGCCCAATAAGAGCCTTGGCACAGTGGCCAGTGAGGGGCGTCAAGAGGGCTCCGCCTTCCTCACCATATGCCTTCCTGGAGACCTGGAATCATACTTAGGAACACGAGTCTGCTGCACCAGCCCAGCCCCTCCATCCCCAACTTGCTCTGGACCTGTGCTAGGGAGGATTACAGATGATCTGCCCGTGTTGGCACCTGGGAGAAAGCGATGGCTCTGTAAAAGGATGGCTGTTTCTGGGAAGTAATGAACAGTGGAACCCTGTAATCTGTTAGGAAGGAAGGAAAAATAGAAGGAACCACTTTGGGGGTAACTTTTTCAAGGATTAGGGAACTTTAAAAAGTGAAAGAAGAAAGTAAATCACATGTGTATTATCTGGAGGAATAAAACTGAGATTTAGTTTTCTGAAGCTCTTGATTCTTTTGTATAAAATGAGGCTTTTAATGTGGTGGTGTCAGAGGTCCTGTCCTGCCTGAAAAATTATGTGCCATGAATTGAGGGGCAGGACTTTCTTTGAGGGGAGTTTTCTGAGACACACATCTCTTTTCCTTAGTGATTATTTTCAAAAGTTCCATTTCTGACTCTCTTGCTCTCATTCAGCTGGAGCTGAATAAGAAAACAAAATGTAGAAAGATAAGTTCTCTGCAAAGCACCTAGAGAGTCCTGCCTGGTAGCCAAGGAGTGAATTCAAATTCTAAGTCAGAAATTGGGTGGAGCTTTCATAAAACAGCCCCTGATCAACTCATGCACGCTCCCAAGTTTTAGAACCAATTCGACCAAGTTGTAAGCTAAAATCTTCTGCTTGTTTCTTGGGCTTTAATCTTGATGTAACTTCCACTAGGGGACTGTGAGGCATCGCTGTCTTGCTCATCATGGTGTCCATGGAACCGGGGACACAAGGCATTCAATAAACATCTGTTGGATGAATATTTTCCTGAGTCTGGCACAATGATGGGCACACACGGCATCCTTGGGCAAAGTTGCAACTCAGAGCTGGCCAGGAACGGTGGCTCATGCCTGTAATCCCAACACTTTGGGAGGCTGAGGCAGGTGGATCACCTGAGGTCAGGAGTTCCAGACTGGCCAACATGGTGAAACTCCATCTCTACTAAAAATACAAAAATTAGCCAGATGTGGTGGCAGGTGCCTGTAATCCCAGCTACTCGGGAGGCTGAGACAGGAGAATGGCTTAAAACCTGGGAAGAAGAGGTTGCAGTGAGCCGAGATCACGCCACTGCACTCCAGCCTGGGCAACAGAGTGAGACTCCATCTCAAAAAAAGAAAAAAAAAAAAAAAAGAAAGAAACTCACTGAGCCTTGGGACAGGAAGAGAGCATAAGCTCTCCCTGTAGAAACCTTTCCTTTTTATCAATTAGGGTAAATTTGACATTGAGAAGTAACATCACTAATCTGAGATCACAGCCTGGCTGGTTTAGGGCAGGGCAGGCTTGCACAGGTCTCCTCTTTTGTAACCCAATGCACTAATCCTCATACTAGTTCCTCTACTCATAAAGGGATTACAGAAATCTTGTTAAAGAGAAGTTGAGTAACTAGTAATGATAACAATAGCAATTATGACAATGGTGAAGATGATGATCATGGTTAGCATTTACTGAGTGCTTCCTAAGAGCCAAAAGCTATTCCAAGTGCTTTATAGGTGTTAACACATTCCAGCCTCATGGTAATCCAGTGGTCACCTACCAGTGGCACTGTTTGTAGAGCTCTGTGAGCCAGATGCTATGCTAACTGCTTTCAAACATGTTTGCTGGATCCTCACCAGAACCCTCTAAGGTAGGTACCATTTCTATCCCCATTTATTGATGAAGAAACTGAGGCCTGGAGAGGTTATATACCCTGCTGATAAACTTGTGATAAAGCAGCTATATGGAAGGCCAAAACCCATGCATGCTCTTGACCATCATGCTAGACTGCCCTGTCCTCTGAGTTATTTTTTTCACCCTGAGCTAATATTAGGGAATACATCTGAAGACTAACTCATCCCTGGTGGTTCTTCCAAAGGCCCAGAGTTTTCCTGAGAGCCTTGTCTGGCCTTAGTAGTTGCTCCATCAGACATTTAGAAAGAGAGAAGGTAAATGAGGAGGACCAGAGGAGGACTCTGGGCACATCTCCCCAAAATGTCCCTCTAGTCCAGGTAAGTTCAGTGCCATGCTGGAGGACAGAATGGCATTAACCCCAGCCTGTTACACAAGGTCATCTGCCATTGGTATGAGCATTCCAGACTCTCAGGTGGAGCCTGGGGCTGAAGTGACAGGAGGAAGGAAAGCTCCTATTCCATTGCAAACCTGATTCTGATGTC